CTTCTTCTTCTTCTTCTTCTTCTTCTTCTTCTTCTCTCTCTCTCTCTCTCTCTCTCTCTCTCTCTCTCTCTCTCTCTCTCTCTCTCTCTCTCTCTCTCTCTCTCTCTCTCTTTCTCTCTCCCCTTGCTGCCCCTCTTCCCCTCTCCTGTCTACTTGATCAAAGTACCAAACATGAAACCACTTAGTGTTTGGGTGACCTACAACCCTAATGTTGTGCCCTGTCTGGTTCCAGAGACTGGCACCTGGACCACAGCTGATGTACAGGGAACCCCGCCCTCCCCGCGCACCTGTCACTATACAGCCCACCGGGGAGACAGGCTGTACGTGTGGGGAGGGGGTAAGACTGGGGCTGAGCCTGTGGAAGATAGGAAATTGCATGTCTTTGATGCAGGTATGTTCATTCAACTTATTAGTACTACATTAGAAAAATGATCGGAAATGGAAAATCCAGTTTTACTTGCCTGAAATCACTCTGGGTGCCTTTGATGAGCATGTAAACTAAATATGAAGTGTTCAAATGTTGAGTGATGCCAAAATAATTCACCTTGTTGTTGTTTGTGTCTGGTTGCCTAGCGACCCTGACCTGGAGCCAGCCACAGCTTGAAGGGAAGCCGCCCAAATCTCGCCATGGTCATGTGATGGTTGCCACGGGCAACAAGCTGTACGTACACGGGGGCATGTCAGGGGTCACCTTCTACGATGACTTGTACGTGCTCAATCTAGGTGAGGACCGCATAAATATACGCTTTATACCGCATTATACGCATTTTACATTGACTGATTTTATTTCAAAATACTTTGTACTATATTATATTTTCCCCATGACACTGTAAGTTGTAAAATGAATATTCGTGGAAGTTTATTCTTATGCAAGTCAGAGTCACTAAGCTAACTCATATATATATATATATACATATACATTTGTATACTAGTATACTGTAACAATTACTGCCATTTTGGACAAATTTTGAATTTTAAAATTCCTTTTTTCCCAGACACAAAGAAGTGGAAGCGGCTGAAGCCTAAAGGCCCTGTGCCCTCAGCTCGTGCGGCACATACAGCCGTGGTGCACGGGTCACAGGTTTACCTGTTTGGTGGGATGAACCAGGAGGGAGCTCTGGACAGCATGCATGTTCTCAACACTGGTGAGTGGGGTGGACTAGTGAAAAGGTTTTAGTAATAGGTTTTAGTAAAAGGTTTTAGTCCTAACTAGCAGTTAAGAGTTGTGGTTGTTTGTTTGGCATAACCTGTAAACTACCTTTAGATGTAGCACCAGTTTTGTACACCATGTACAATGTATACAGGCTGTGTAAGGCAGGGCTACAAGCCTATTTTCAACCAGTGAAAGATAAGCTTTTCAGTGAGCTCACTTTTACTGTTGTTTACATGCTCAGTTGTTTGCACAGTTGTAATCAATTCAAGTTTTCCCTTGTACATGTACACTATGTATCAGACTCACCAATTGTGTGTGTGTGTTATTTTTTCTTGCAGAAAATCTGACGTGGCGTGAGCTGAAACCAGAGGGTCCACCTCCGGGACCCAGACTGGACCACGCAGCGTGCATCATTCAGCTATCTGTGGGGGGGAGGGGGGAGCATAAGGGGGAGGGGGCCGGGGACCCTGGAGGGGTCTGTCAAAACCCCGGAGAGGACGCCTCATCACTAACAGATGGAAAAGGTACTGAAGAACCAAACACTGGCACAGAAAATCAGGCAGGTTCCACATTATTGTCGGGGAGTGGGAAAGGAACTGAAGAAGAGAATGCTGACGTGAAAAACCAGGAATCTGGTTCGAACCGGACAGAAACCATGGCAACAGAATCAGTCGTGTCTTCTTCAGAAAACTCCTCTCAGTCACAAAATGCAGAGGAGCAAGTTCCTAGTGTTGAGGAGACAGGCAGTCAGCCGACGATATTGGACGTTACGGAACAGTTTTTGCCCGAGGGAACCGTTCCGAAGGTCGCAGGAGCAGCAGGTCAAGGTCATGCAGCAGCCTCGGGGTCCCAGGAGCATGCTGGGATTGGTGTGGTGCATGATGGGAAGGTGACGATGCTGCTGGTGTATGGAGGAATGGACACACAGGGAATCATACACGACGACTGTCTCGTCATGAGAATCGCATGATCAAGGTTTCGGTTCTCCTAAAACAGATGATTCAAATTCTGGCATTACATCCCCAAACATTGACAATCATGACATACATGTACTTGTGAAAGTAAGAATTAAACATAAAAATTACAAAATTTGTTGTATTGTTACATGTACACAGCATTCATCATACTATTATGTATGGTGCACAAATATTGCAAAATATTAAGAACGTATTCCAGTCAAAGCTACATCTTTCATCTTTCTTGAGCTCAATATGGTCGACTGATTATGATGATGTAGATTTTCAGCATATTCAATATAATTTTCTCCAGATCACCTCAGTCTCCAAGGCTGCATTGGCCATCAAAAAAAAACCTTCCCTGTAACTTGTAAGATCTGGCCAGATTTAAGTTTCAGTACAAAAATAAAAAATGAGATACTGACAAAGGATCTGTTTGACAGTTTTATTTTGTAACAGCCCAGATTATTTTGGTAAAAATACACAAACTTTACAATTATAGTCTAACTTCTACTTCCATCTCTGCATATATACTTTTTCAAATATAGCTATAAATGTACATTCCACAGCATAGGCATACATAGTTACCATGCACATCATTCTGTCAAACTCAGATGTACTTTTGATCCAGAAGTTTTACTGCCACTTCTTTTGAATTTTGGTTGTCCCAAGCATAATATAATAATTAGACTGTCTAAGCCTTATTTGCCACTCCGTGTTACCCTGAAAGATCCTATGAATTCATCCAGATTGTTATTTTTTTGTTATCCCACGTCCATTTTTTTTTTCTCTTAGCTTTTTGTTGTAGTTAAATGTATAATGGTGTGCAACTTGCCAAGTGTACTGGGGATAGTTCATGTCTACTTTTGCAATTGTTTTAATGCTTCACATCTGAGTCACCTAAAACTTCACTGGAATAGCCAAAAGCAGAGCTGCTATATGTACATGGTACATAGTACAATTGGCAAGCACAAGCACAGCAAGCAGCAGAAATGCCCCCTAGTAAATCAGCAGGGGACTGCGGGTCATACTTTTGGTTATAGATATACACTCGCAGTGCATCTACGCTTCTTAGTCCTTCCACCATTTCAAGTGACAAAAATCGATTTTATAAAAATCACTTTTTACGTGTAGGGGTTTCAAACCATCCTTTATTCTCAGTCAGAAAGGCTATCATATCTTTGTTTAATTTCTTTGTTTTAATTCTTTTCATGTCTGACGTCTGATCTAACTTGAGTATGTCGTCATCTTGTCTATTTTCTTTATTTCTGTTTTGATGAAAATGTCTGAGAACCAAGGAGACAAACTGGTGTGACCGACCATAGAATTCAAAGAGCAGAAAATTTCAGCAGTAACATCAGATCCAGGTAATAAGATAACAGTTACACCCAAACAACTGCACAGATGTCCGTTCGTACACTGTCACTGACAAAATCTATCCAGTTGTTTGTACTAATGTGTAACTGTCCCCCCAGTAGAACTGTCCTGCTGCCTTTGGTGGCCACTTCGGCACAGTAAGAGAGAGAGAGGTGGGTTCCATACTGAGAGGGCCCTCCAACTCTGTCCTGCAACATGCTACATAATGAGCATTCATGTGTACCCAATATTGATTGATAAAAATGAATTATGAGGGAGTGAAAAATGTGTACAAAGAATCTAGCAAGCAGCACCTCCTTTTCTTCTCAGACATCACCCTTAGAAGTACTTTACACGTGATAAGACTTCAGTCACTTGAGGTTAAAAAAAGGGAGTTTTATCATCCTTATAACCACCTCAGTAGATCTGTTCCGCTGCCTTTGGTGCCCCCTTCGGCGCGGTAAGGGATAGAGATGTTGGGTCCATACTGAGGGTGGCGGCCGGCCGGACACGCAGACCTGCGATACGTTCCCACAGACTCACCACACGCCGGTACTTCCCTGGGTCTGGCATCATCTGGGGAATACAGGAAGGAAGGAAGAAATGTGTTCATTAGAAATTCACCACATGTAGTAGACAAAACAGAGCAAGAACTATGTCCTATTACTTTTCAAGTTTGTATTCTGTTTACCTATAAAGGGCTCTCTTGGAAATCAGCCCTATTCAGCTGGTTTTGGTTTGGTTTTCTTTTAATGCCCACGATCATGATAATGATCATTCTGGCAACTCATTTTCACCTGAGTGAAGTGAGGAAAGTCGTGTAAAGTGCCTTTCCCAAGGATAAGGTGGGGTTGGAACCCCGTACCTCTTGGTTCCGGGCCAAAGACGCTATCACTATGTCAGACGACCCCACCAAGTTGGGGGGACTTCCTATAATACATACTAAGGATTGACTGCCCCTCCTTTTCTTCATTAAAAATTACTTTGAGTCAAATTTGAGGTACAGACCTTGGAGCAGTGGTGCCTGGTGATGTGTCCATCTGGCCCCACTGTGAACATGGAGAACGCATCGATGGATCTGCAGAACAATGAGGGATGCAACTGTTAAACCTGTTCCTTCTATGCTGATCAAACTTAGTTAGACGTATCAATTTTGTTTCTGTTATAAGGTTGTGAGCATATGGTCCTCTCACCTGTGCCATTTCTGATAACCCCTTGACACCCCTTATAAAATTAAAAGCAACCCCAGTCTATGAAATGTGGCCCTAATGGCCAAATAGAGAATTTGGGGTATACTAGTAATTATTAAAGGAACGAACAAATTAACAAATCTGTAGAGGCCAGACCTGTCCTATCCTATACAGAACCATATTTGATTTGATTTGATTTATTGAGATTGCAAACAAATACAATACTTGTGGGCCACAGGCAGCGGGGGCTGGTGTTGTGGCCCACACACAAAACAATTATAAGCACACAAACAAGACACACATTTAAACCTAAACAATATAAGTGCATAAAAATATTGTGCATACAAACCATGTTAAACCTTAGGTAGAAGTTCTCTCACCTGTAGAGCCCAGACTTGTCCTTTCTCCAGAACCTGAGCAGCAGCAGGTGCAGTGGCAGACCATGGACGCGCCAGCGAGCCTGGACCGTGCCGTCCTGTACCTCGTACGTCAGCTTCAGCACGTCCAGCCGCACGTCCACGTAGTACGTCCACGCCGCCATCCTCAGCAGCGTCAGGAGCGCCTGGTACGTCGTGCGGCCTCTGTGGGGTGTCAAAAGGAGCTTAGCTGTGTCCTGTTTTATTGTTTCAAAGTTAGTTGTGTCTTGGAATGGCAACACATACAATACAGCAGCTACCAAGGGGAGATTCTTCAGCATATATGTATTTGGCTTCGATAGACAAATCCTGGACAGTAAGTGAGTGAATAAGTGGGCTTGAGTGGATGAGTGAATAAGTGAGTGAGCGAGTGAGTGAGAGTGAGTGAGTGATAGTATTTAGTTTACTTGACTGTACTACCAGAAAAACACAACGGTATAAAAAGCCATTTTCACAATGAACCTGTTCGTATATATAAAATTAACCAAAAATCAGGTCAAGAAAAGTCTTACTTGGTGGTCATGTTGAGGAAGTCGTTGATGAAGACGACGTCAGGATGGTACATCCCGTAGTCATGGTTACCACGGAAGAACCTCGGCATCTGTGAGGGGGAGGGGAGCAGCACATATCACGGTATTAACAAATGGGAAATCAGTGTGGTAAACCCCTTAGGGGGAGTGTGGTACAGTCCAGTGTCTGATCAAGGAGCTTCTATCACATGTGACAGAAGCTCCTTGGTCTGATTCAGGGACGTGAGTCCTGGAGAGATAGTAGAATAATCCTGGTGTTCGTAAAGATACTTGTGTAAATGTGTATAACTCAACTTGTATTTGGTATACTGTTGAAGAACATACCCTCTAACACCAAGAAATTAGAGTGATGAGGAATAATTGTTGAAAGAAGGATTCTGATTCAAGGTTACACTGTTATTATTGCTAACATCTACAGGTGCTCCAGCCTACCTGTTCCCCCAGCTTGTCCCGTACTTCTGCTAATTGTTCCTCCGTCACTCTGTTGTCTGAAGGTCGCGTGACCTTGCCCTCGGAGGTCATCTGAAGTTCATGTCTCTTCGCCTGCTTTTTAACATCCACTGACATCATGACGTCCATGTCTTTTAAAACTTCTGCATTTTCAGATTTTGCGGTTTTGTCCTGTTGCCATGGTAACAGCTGTTGGGATGGCAACATCGTCACTTTCTGTACTTCTCTAGCGATGACATTATCCTTAAAAATGTCCTCAAACTGGGCTAGCAGGCTAGAAATTGTTTCATTCACAATAACAGAGTCAAAATATCCCTTTTCTACCTCCGACTCTTTAGTACTACATTTCTTGTCTTTTCCTTTTGTTGTAGATGAAAGAAAGGGTTCGTTCACAGCATTGAGAGATTCTTTTAAGACATTTTGTTCTAGATCCCCTTCTGCTGGCTTCCCAGGGCTGACAAAGATGAAGGGATGCAGGAGTGTTCCATCCGGTAAGACCATCAGCGATGTCGGACTCTGTTCTTTCGCTACCGATCTCCATCGGTGTGACTTTCCTCCACTGTTTCCGTCACAATCAGAGTCGAGTTTCTGATGACTTTCGCGTACGAGCGTCCCGAGTCTGGTACAGGTGACTTCTTGAGGTTGCGGAAGGGGGCATGTCAGCCTGCCCCTGGTGCATTGTGGGTGTCCTGACACACTGGCACTGTTGTGACATGCCTGCTTGCTCACCTGTCATGAAGATGACAAAAAGAATTGCTTTTTTGTTTGTTTGAACCAAAAGTTATTCAGTCACGAGAGGCTCAAATTGGCCTGCAGGCCACTTTTCATTGAGGTCATGAGGGAAGAGAAATGGGTCAAACAAAATACATAACAAAGATACATGTATGGTTAATCCTAATAATGACAACACAAAAATCTTTATTATGCTTATAATTCATCAAAAATCTTGAAGCTCAATTTTAATTTTCCTAATGTAAGTATATCCTTAGCATAGGGTCGACCTCGACGCCCGTGTCCTCTTAAGGTCAACATTTGTGTTTGTTTTGGGTTCATTTAAGTTTCTTGTTAACACAACTGGTCTAATAGCGTGACAGGATAGAAATATTCTCTCAATAACTACAAAAACCGACGGAACCTCACATAAAGAGGATATTTCGGTCTAACAGGCCTTTCTATCAGCCGGGCCGATTACATGTTACGATTCTGACCTTCATGTAGTCACCTGTTACAAAAAAGAACCCGCCCCTCCCACTCCCGCCAAAACAGTGTAGCCGGAACTTTCCATCTTTCCACTAAAGAAATCAGAACTAATCACTGCGATCCATCCATTAATTTTTTATTAAAACCTTACACAAACGATGTCAAATTATACACCAACATAACCAGACAGCGATACAGAACGTCCACAGAAATAGGGTACGAGTTTCGCAATCCACAGGTCTGTACACTTTTGCTCACCTCGGATCTGGACAGTTCGCAGGACGATGTTTCAGCTGAGATCCCGGCTTCCTGGGAGCCGAAATGGCGGCCAACACGACAAGAGCTCGTCCTGGGCACGATACTGGGCAGGCTGCAGCAAGTCGGCTTCAGGAACCGCAGCTGGAAAGCCATCTCGGCCGCACAAACTTAGTTTTCCTCGACCATCAAATGCAACAATCAGCCCGCCATCTTGGACTGGACCAAGTACCGTCAATTATAGGTAGGGATTTTCACCTGAATATTTTCAGGTAGAGATATTGTACTTGAACAGTCAAATCTACATTTTTGACCTCATAGTTCTCGTATATAACAAGGAATTTATATGCATGGGATGTCTGAATAAAATGATTTTACGTTGAAGCGGATTGATTTGTTCAAGGACTTTTTGTTTAAAAGCGTCACCTAGTAAAAATGTTGTAACTGCAAGCTGTGACCTCTAACCTTACGTCTTCTTGCAATCGCCATCTTGCATAGCGGTTCTTTTATTTTTCTCCAAAACTATCAAGATTTTCAACGTACTTCACTTCAGCTTAGAGTCTTCTGGGAAACGTGACAGGCTAGGTAACTCCTTTATTTGCTATCAATGCTTACTGTACTGTTTTACTAGCATAACAACCTCCTTGTATGGGGTTAGAGTATGGGGCCTGTTTTGTAAAATTATAAATAATTTTTGCTGAAATTATGATACTGAAAAAACAGTTACTACATGTAGTAGTCAAGCAACTGGATAAGTCAATCGGCAATGTATTTGATTTTCAAATATTAGTATTCTAAAATTTTTATATATAATTATTGATATAAATGTAAAAACCGAAAGGGGCGAGCAGGAAGGGGCGAGCAGGTCACAACCGGGAATCGAACCCGAGTTGTTCGCTTGGCGGTCACCAACGCTAACCACTACACTAAAAGGTCGCACGACCCTTTAGCATGGTCAGTTAGCACTGTTACATAAAATATAAAGACTATGCAGTTGCTTGAGGTACACTTGTCTTCTGCATTTATCTATTTCTTGTTCTGTAATTCCGTTATGTTTTGTACTTTGTAGAAATGGATCCTCAGGAGGATTTTGGCTTGGATATACTACAGGCGGCATATGTACTGGCCATGTCTGCTGAAGATTCTGGAAACGAGAATAACAGTGGAGAGGATCAGACAACAGATACAGAAGGGCAGCAGGACAGGGAAAGGGAGAGTCCATGTGAGCAAAGGGAGAGTCCATGTGAGCAAAGGGAGAGTCCATGTGAGCAAAGGGAGAGTCCATGTGAGAAAAGGGAGAGTCCATCTGAGAAAAGGGAGAGTCCATGTGAGAAAAGGGAGAGTCCATCTGAGAAAAGGGAGAGTCCATCTGAGGAGAGTCCATGTGAGGAAACCTGCAGTGAAGAATCCACCCATCGTGGCCATGTTTGTTCTCATTGTGGATACACGACAAGTCGTCTGGCAAACCTCTCTGTACACATGAAAAAGCACACAGGTGGAAACCCCTACCATCTGGACCAGTCCATAAATATGAGTGATGATGATGAAACCAGGAGCAGAGATGAGGACAATTCAACAGATGCAGAATGGCAGGAGGAGGGTGAAAGTTCAAATGAGGAAACAAGCTCTGTAAAGTCTCAAGAGAAACCTTTGTTACATGGGGGATGTCAAAACAAGAGCGATAAACCAGGGCCAAGTCAAGAAACAGCAGCAAAAGCAGACTACCATTGTACTCAGTGCAGCTATGCCACAAAACAGAAATACATGTTGAACAATCACATACAATCTAAACATTCTGGTGTCAAACCTTACAAGTGTGACAAGTGTGAATACAGGACAGCTTATAAACGTAGCCTATCAGTGCATATGGCAGCGAAACATTCTGATGAAAAGCCTCATAAATGTGACCAGTGTGACTATTCCACTTCATTAAAACACCTTCTAGACCAACATATACGTACACACACAGGTGAGAAACCCTACCTGTGTGAGGAGTGTGGGTTCAGAGCAACCCGTCAGTCTCAGTTACTACTACATAAGAAAAAACACACGGGTGAGAAACCCCACAAATGTGACCAGTGTGACTTTGCTGCTGTCACAAAGTGTCGTTTAGACGACCATATGGTGACGCACACTGGAGTCAAACCCTTTGCATGTAAAGAGTGCACCTTCAGGACTGCCCATAGGTCTAACCTGGCAATACATATGAGAACACACACTGGTGAGAAACCCTACAAATGCGACTGGTGCGACTTTTCAGCAGCACGGAAAGAATCCTTAGAGAGTCATGTGGCCGAACACACTGGAGTAAAACCCCACCGGTGTGAAATTTGCGACTACTCTTCAACACGTAAAAACAACCTAAAGCAGCACATTGCTAAATGCCACCCTGAAAACTCTGAAAAGCCTTACCGGTGCGATCAGTGTGACTATCGTGCTTCATGGGAAAGCAGACTGAAGCAGCACAAGTTAAAACACTCTGACAAGAAAACATACAAATGCGACCAGTGCGACTACTCTAGCGCAGAGAAAAAGAACTTTGACCGACACATGTTAAAACACAGGGAAAAACAATACATGTGTGACCAGTGCGGATACAGAACACATTACAAATTTCAGCTTGCTAATCATAAGAGGAAACACACTGGAGAAAAACCCTACAAGTGTCACCTGTGCGACTATTCTGGTGCACGGAAACAGAATTTAAACCAGCACATGGTCATACATACTGGTGAGAAACCCTACAGGTGTGTGGAGTGTGGGTACAGGACAGCCGATAAGTATTACCTGAGAAAACATTATGCGAAACAACATGGAGAAAAATATGACGAGAAAGAAAAGGGTGACTTGCTTGTAGTGCAGGAAACAGTTGAGATTTCTACACTATTGTCAGACTGAGAACTGTGCACGTGATGACTGGTTGTCATATAGTGATGAAGAATCCTGAGCTCCCATTGGTAGTTCTGGGAATAGGAATGATTTTTTTTTAAGCTATGTATTTTGTACTTCTTAGCACATCCTTTTTTGGATTATTTAAAATTGCATGATATATACTATTACTTAGATGGATACTAACCAACTAGAGTAATCAGTTCTAAAGCATATCTTTTTTTAATTAATATTTATTGTGATAACATATTCAAGTACTAGCATATTTAATATGACTTGTATCAAGTTGTATAAATGATATGTAATCAATAGATAAGTTTTGAATAAATTGTATTCTTTGAAAGAATGTATTTCACTCTGTGATATATTTCTTATATTTGATCCCAATACACCAACCGTTCATTCCTTCACTCATTTTAGGTCGTGTGTTACATGCGTTTGGTATGCACAATAACACAAGAACTAGTGTTGGAAGACGTTGCCTCCTAGTATCCACTCTAGAACCAAGGACATTGTATAATGTCCTTGCTAGAACTTAGAAATGAAGTGCAGTGCATGTGTTCCGATTAGGCCATGTTGATTCGATTATATGGATGACATCCGCGCGCGCATGAATTTTCGACCGTTTCCAAAAAAAAAAAAGTTTTCAACCATACTGTAAATCGTACAAAACAGTTGCAAAATGAGCAAAAATATACCACAAGTTACAAAAAAAATTAATAAAAACTATACCAATGTCGTAGAATGCCAAAATCAAACGAAAAAAGACGAAATTGTAAAGAAGACTAGATTATTCGCCAAACCATATTCTGTGCCATTTGCTCAACCCTCATGACCACGTAGATTTCATAATGAAAAGAACTTTTTTTTTGCAAAACTTTTTTTTTATTCGCACGCGCGCATCAGTTTTGGGGTTCCCAGAGGATGTCATCCATATAATCAAATCAACATGGCCTAATAGGGTTATCAGGTCGGTGAACTCTGACCTCAAGCCGAACCGCTAGCCCGCCATCTTTGTGTGTGTAGCGGTGCATCTTCCCTCAAATCTGACAGTTCTAAATTCCAACCATCTGAACAACGTTGCGCGCCGATCGGAATCGAAAGAAGTAAGTTGTTTTGTGTGTGCTATCTACGTTGTATTCAGTTGCCTACATACTGTGGTAAGTTTACGTGTGTTTGGTTCGTTTTGGCGCTGTATGTGGAGGTGGGGGCGAGCCACACATGTAGGGTGTAGGTAGATGCCTCTTGAAGTTCCACGTAATTTTGTATGACCTTATTGACCTATATATGCCAGTATAATGCTACAGATACAAGTGATGCAAGACCAGTATGTGCAGAGTTGCATATGACGTGGATGAGTTTGCTTAAAACCACGACAAAAAAAATCCCCCTTTATTCAAGATTTAGCAAGCTGGGCAGGGGGGCCCCGAGGCGAGGCTGACTCTCTCAGATTCTAGCCTAGGATACGTGCAAAATCCTTCAGTCTGTTATCTTGCAAGAAAATTAAACTGAAACCAATATATAGCTTTTGATTGTTTTATGTGCATCGATTAGACCACGTAGATTGAATATGTGATTCCCATGCCGAACTTCACCCCATGCCCACCGATCCCCAGGTGGTGTAGCCTGGCTTGCAGACCCCCAGTGCGAGGCGATACCAATCCTGGCGGCTGGGGAGCAACACGGCCCGCCCCAAGATTTTGTACATTACCGCTAGTAACTGAGACAGACTGTCGACTGTATATTTCGCATGCTGGCTATTTGGCCAATTTCTATTCTTTCCAGCCGCTTCCCAAGCAAGCCTGGTAGAGGCTAATTGGAATGGGCCATGTTACTCACTCACCCATGGATTGATATCGCTTCACGCTGGGTCTGGTATCCAGGCTACCGGCGTGTTTGTTTTCGTAGTGTTCTAACCAGACACGTGTGTTCTCAATTAGCGCGAAAACTGATGCACGCACTGCCTGGCGAGCCAACTTGTGGGCTTCCTGTCGAAGAGACAGTGTCCGATCCGTCTTCCTGGAAACGAAACAACACTTCACATACTAGGACATCATATCAGAGAGAAGCAGACACGACAACACGAAAGGCGTCTTAAGCTAAGACCCCCATCCACAACATAAAACAATCCTGGTTACATCCATTGGACCAACGACAACAACGGAAAAGGAACATAAATACTAGTATATGAACATAAACAAATAAACATGCCATCAGCGAAACGAGCCCGGGAAAGACTCCACATGTGTGATGAGTACGGGGCGACTAACATGAGTAAATTGTCCAGACATATGACCAAGCATCGAGGCGAAAAACGTTACAGGTGTGAACACTGCGGTTCCTCTTTTGCGTGGAAAAGCAGTCTGAAACAACACATCATAGTGAAGCATTTTGGCGAGAACGCCTACGAATGTGAAGTGTGTGGATACAGAACGACTAAAAAGGGAATATTTGCTGAACATAAGAGAACACATACCGGTGAGAAACCCTACAAATGTGACCAGTGCGACTACTCTGCTGCACACAAGGGCAATTTAGACCGGCACATGGCTAAACATACTGGAGACAAACCCTACATGTGTGAGGAGTGCGGTCATAGGACGGCTCTTAAAAGTTTGCTAAATAGACATTTGGAGACACATACAGGAGAAAAACCGTACAAATGTGACCACTGCGACTATTCAGCAGCCAGAAAATACAACTTAGACCGGCATAACCTTAGACACACTGATCAAAAGCCTGTGAAAAAAATGTTACTGCACATGTGCGACGTGTGCGGGTACAGGACGGCTCTAAAGTCGACCCTAACTGTGCACATGACAATCCACTCAGGCGAGAAACCCTACAAATGCGACCTGTGTGACTATTCTTTTTCACTGAAAAGTCGTTTAAAACGTCACATCCTCACCCACACTGGTGAGAAGCCCTACTTTTGTGAGGAGTGCGGATTCAGGACAGCTACCAAGGCTCAGCTAAGCGCGCACAAAAGGAAACATACAGGAGAGAAACCCTACAAATGTGACCAGTGCGACTATTCTGCTGCTCGGAAAGAATATTTGACCCATCACGTCTTAAAGCACACTGGTGAAAAACGCTACTTCTGTGAAAAGTGTGACTATATGGGGACTACAAAATCTCATCTTAACTCGCACATGACAACGCATAGCGGTAAGAAACCGTACAAGTGTGACCAGTGTAACTTTTCTTCTGCCTGGAAAAACTGTTTGGTCCAACACATGGTCAAACACACGGCTGAAAAAGGCCATACGTGTAAAGTGTGTGGATACAGGATAGCTAGCAAGGCTAAACTAGCCTCACATATGAGAAAACATACAGGAGAAAAGCCGTACAAATGTGACCAGTGCGACTTTTCTGCGTCGTGGAAACCCGGTCTAGTCGCACACATGGTGAAACACACCGGAGAGAAACCCTACAGGTGCGAGGAGTGCGGCTACAGAGCGGCCCGGAAAATGACGCTTATACGTCACAGCCGGATTCACACAGGTGAGAAACCGTTCAGATGTGACCAGTGCGACTACGCTGCCTCTAGAAAGTACAACCTAGATCGACACAAGCGGAGCCACACCGGTGAAAAGCCGTTCATGTGTGAGGTATGTGGGTACAGGGCGACTGAAAAGTCTGCTTTATCTGTGCACTTGAGAAACCATACCGGTAAGAAACCCTACAAATGTGACCAGTGCGACTATTCAGCTGCTCGTAAGGCAAGATTAGACAAGCACGTGTTAAAACACACTGAAGCAATTGCGAAACATTACTTCTGTGAAGTGTGCGATTATACGACGACTACAAAATCTCATCTAAACTCGCACATGACAACGCATAGCGGTGAGAAACCGCACAAGTGTGACCAGTGTGATTTCTCTTCGGCCTGGAAAAACTGTTTGGTCCAACACATGGTCAAACACACGGCTTGGAAAGGCCATACGTGCAAAGTGTGTGGATACAGGATAGCTAGCAAGGCTAAACTAGCCGCACATATGAGAAAACATACAGGAGAAAAGCCCTACAAATGTGACCAGTGCGACTTTTCTGCGGCGTGGAAACCCGGTCTAGTCGCACACATGGTGAAACACACCGGAGAGAAACCCTACAGGTGCGAGGAGTGCGGCTACAGAGCGGCCCGGAAAATGACGCTTATACGCCATAGCCGGACTCACACTGGTGAGAAACCGTTCAGATGTGACCAGTGCGACTACGCTGCTACACAGAAGTACAACTTGGATCGACACAAGCTTAGACACAGTCGGAAGATTAAGAAGTAAAGCTTGCTGGTATAGCTGATCCGAAAACCTGGTCATGATCCAAATGCAGCCTTGAGCTTCAATGTTTTCTCCATTATTTTAAAGCTAGTTGTGGCCATATTATTAATCTCGCCATGTTGGTTTAGCTGTTTTATTTTTATTACGTACTAGTTAGCCTAGTTAGTTAGCCTAGTTTGTAAGTTAGCCTAGTAATTGTTTTTCAGGAGCTTTGAATGTCTTCGCTTGGTATTATTTTTCTTTAGGCTGCATGAATTACATGTACATGTACTTCGTGTTTTTCTAGATACATTTTCTACTTTTAATGAAATAGTTTATTTACAGTATTATTGTTAATTACAGGCTCAGGTGCATTATACAAGGTTAATAATCATTCGTGCTGTAACTTCTCTTAGCAATATCAATACTTGCATTTACATTTCGTACTTGTAGACGATTGGTGCTATCATTTGGTGCTATCATATATTATCTTCAATTCAAAGTACACACCATGATTTGACAGGATATCTAAAACATTAAGTGTATGTTTTAACAACATATATGTAAAATATATGTATCTAGTTGGCTAATGTTTACAATACAACTTACAAATTAATTGGTGAAACGTTGGTGAGTCGCAAGTTGTGTGTGTGTGTGTTTGTGTGTGTGTGTGTGTGTGTGTGTTTCAGAATGTTGTGTTCAAAAACTGCCGTTAAGCCTTGGGCCTTATTTTCATCTCACTAAACGCAAGCGACTCATATTCCCCTTTAAACTGGATCCAGTTGACCCCCTTCCCGAAGTCGTTGTTGCCGTACATGCCGTTCAGGTTGGCATGATGACAGCCGTTGTACCACCAGGCCCCGGTGTAGGTGACGGCACAGTTGAGCGCTGAGGTGTCGCTGTCGCTGTCCCTGGTGCTGAACCGCATTCCGTTATGCCAGGCCATGGCGTCACCTGTGGAAAGATAGGATGTTTCGATCCGTGAATAGTTTTACCAGGTTGGAAACGAGACTACGTCACATGTCAGATGGCCCCTTATTCAGCAACCAGTGACTGTTTTTTTCATCCGACGTTTCAGTGTCCGTCTTTCACCTTCTTCAGGGCAGCAATGGTTTATGATTCTTCAGCTGCAGCGATACCAAGCAGCAGTCGATCTGAATCATTCATTGCTACCCCGAAGAAGGCGACAGACGGCCCCAGTCCTGACACGGGTCCGGCCGAAGGTTGGAGGGCGATCCGACCCGCGGTTGGGCTGGTACCTCGGGTGATGCGAAATACTAATAACACCGTGTAGTAGTCTATATAACACGGTGAATAATACCAATAACACCGCCAGTGTGAAATATTATGCACCTGCAGTTCCGCTGTATCTCCCAACGGCCAGCCTGTACTTGTCTGACTCATCCGCCACGGTGAAGCTGTCGTACACGGCGTACGCAGTAGCCCCATCCACAGCCTTCAGATCCACCCTCAGCACGTAGTCCTTCTGTGACGTCAGGAGGTGGATGTTGTCGTTCCCGAGCCAGAACTCGCCGCTGACGCGCTGGGAGGGGAAACCGGCCCTGTAGTCGTCCCAGTACAGGTAGAAGTCTACTGAGCCGTCCTGGCGTCTCTGGAACACCTGTGGGACAAGATTTTTGACATGACATCATATAAGGACATTCATGCAGTCCTCATGGTAGTGTTCAACTTAATTTTCCTTTTAAACCCCCTTGCGCGCATACACACAGGAACACAGACACACACAGTGACACACACAAACTCAGACACACACATACACACAGAAAGAGAGGGGGAGATACTACATGTATATATAGCTAGCCAAAATCGACACTTCACTCCTTCACTTCTTTGGGCCCGAGAGAACATCTCCGCCATACCGTCCAGCCGCCTCCGTCGGTATCCATGTCGCAGTACACCAGGAGGCCGCTAGGGGCGCCCCAGGGGAACACAGTATAAGGGCCGCTCGGCAGGTCCGGGTCCGCGAGGTGGATATCCTGACAGTCCTCGGGTAAGAAGGCAGATCCTTGGGGCCCTAGGTCACGGCGGCATGAATATTTTCTGTTAGATGCGCACACCTACATGGTATGTTGTCAGCAGACATCAAAGAACACATAATGCCTAGGAAAATTAATGTTGTGTCACCGGTTTCAGTCCTGAAAAAAACTAGGGATTTGTCGTCAATATACGACAGCTTTCTTCATCCAGAATTGTTTGTTTTGCCGCCCGATACTATTGTCTTGGATGCCTTTAAACTACGAACTCACCGAAGGCAACGTCATAACACCCCAGCACCTCCACCCTCATGCTGATGTGTCCGTGCCACGTCACGAGGACGAGCCGGACGTACCTGGTAGTGACAGGTGACTGCAGCAGGTGGCGAACTGGCGTCGTGTTGTCTACGTTACCTGGGAACACCTGGGGAAGCACGGGGCAATACTGAATACATAATATGAACCTTCGCATGGTCCAGCCTACTGCTCCGCTTATTTTTTTCTCAGACACACATACTCTCACTCACTCACTCACACACACAAACACACACACACACTCTCTCTCTCTCTCTCTCACACACACACACACACACACACACACACACACACACACACACACACACACACATACACACACTCACATGGTGACAAGCATCTCGAACTCTGTCTTGCAACTTGCAACATAATGTAACCCAACACCACAGGGTGTCTGCTACAGCACCAGTTACCATGGTGTCAGCCGTCTTGTCTGGAACGGAAGAAGTAGAAGAAGAAGAATCAAAACAGAGCGAAAGTAAATATCATAATCAACATCACTCTAATGATCATCCCACCTTGTCGACTCCGTCGCTTTCCTGGTAGGTTGTCCAGTTGCCTGAAGCGCCCCCTGTGCTGAACTGCAGCTTGTATGACGTCACCCACTGATTTAAGTCCCCACGACCTTGGGTGATGACCCCGGAAACGATTGCTAAACCTAGGTCAATCTAAACACAACACAGTTGTTTACAGCATAGCACCCGTACTAACTAGTACACCGTTCGTCAACACGCTTCACTGCACGAAAAGTTGAATTTACCAATTGGTAGTAAATTCCAGTAAAGTCGGGAGTTTACTGAGTAAGGATGAAACAATGTATATTGTACAGAAAGAGTGTACGGACAATGCAAGCTAACAAGTTGAACAAGTGATCACTACTGTAAGAACTACAGAATACAATCTAAGGCTTTAAGCGTTTATGCTTTTAACAGCGTTATATGTGTGTTCAAAATTGTTACACGTGTATGTTTTAGTACCTGCAGCCACTCGTTAACGTCGTTTGCCAGCGCGCACCAGGATATGACGCTGTTCAGCCGGCTGTGGGGTATCGGACAGTGTTCGTGTACGGAAGACGCTGTGATGCTGTCATCGAGGATATTTCCTGACTCCATTCCCAGCGGCGAACTGCAGATTTCATGTGCTTGTAAAGACAAATGTTACAATACATTACACTTGGTGCAGGTGGTCTTGGAGTTAGGATGATCCAATCTAAAGATTCTGGGTTCTGGATAGTCCACGCGATTCCATACAATCGTGCCTGAAGTAAATCTACGTTCACCGATACGCGGAGACTATCCAGAATGGCGCCTGCTCCTTACCATAAACAATTCATAAGACTAGACGGGCACGGTTCTGGATACGGTACGTACCTAGTATCACAGGAACTGCTCTGATTATAGTGTCCACCATGAGGGACAGGGGGTACTGGAGTGATAAAAATCCGGATTTTGCTCCGATCCGCTACGGTAGAAAAAAATCAAGCGTAGCGGAGCAAAATCCGGATTTTTTATAGCGTAGAGGAGGAAAATTCCGGATGGTACTCGGGCTACTGACAATGTAGAATCGCCATACTCTTTCCTAGTCGCTGTCAACACACTCAGCTGCAGCTCATCAAACGTACCTCACCGGATTAATCCGGAGGCATGATGATGATAATGATGATGCAGTAAGTACTGACCTTCGTCCCTGCAGCCGAGCACGTCTACCCGCATGCAGACGTGTCCCCTCCATGTCTGCACCACGAACCGGACGTACCGGGCTGGCATGGGCGGGCTGAGGAGGTTTGTTACCGGGCTCGACCTGTCGCTATTCCCCGTGAAAATCTGGTTCCGAGAATTTAAATCAGTTTCTATAAAATTCAATTCAACAACAGTGTTGCTGTAAAGTCAAACTTTTAACAATTGGTGTTGCTGTTGTGGTTTTGCATGACAATTGTGCTGAACTAGCTACCACAAAAATATAACTCTCCAGGTACTTTTTAGGTGGCTGCAAGATATGAAATTGGCGAGACATTATCGAATTGGCAAAACAGAATCAAATTGGCAAGACAGAATCCAATTGCCCAGGGAGTTAACATTTTTCTGGCATACTAAAAAGATTCCAGTACAAAAATATCTCTTGGAGAGTACGAGAAGAAATGTGTTCACCTTGTCCGACCCGTCGGTGCCCGTGTAGGTTGTCCAGGACGTTCCCTTCCAGCTGCGCTGCAGCTTGTATGACGTCACCCACTGGTCAGCCGTCCTCCTGCCTTGTGTGACGACGCCGTGGACCACAGCAGGTCCGCCCAGGTCAACCTGGACAGGAATCAAGCAGATCATTTGTTTGTACTGCCGGATGCGAACGTATGGGGCCGTGTGGTATAGGAAGGTGAGAGGTCCTCGCCTGGTTCGAATCCTGTCATGTCACCGATCGTGTGCCCTTGGCAAGGCACTACATGGTTTAGAAAGCGGAGCGCAACCTTTTTCTTCAACCGCCACCCAATAGTGTGCCCTTGACACAGTGGATTAGCAATACACAGCCCCCACAGCTTTAAAAAGGCTATGAGACTACCTTTACCATTTACGAACATATTGTGGCGTCGAATGGCCGAGCGGGCACGACATTTTGCGTGGCCGTGCGTTGATCGGACTTTGTCTTACCTGAAGCCATTGGCCAGCCTGGTTTGCCCCTGCGACCCATGCGCCTTTCTCATGCAGGCTGTTGAGGCGGCCATAGTACGCCCTGTGTTCATAGCGGTAGACTGAGGACGCAGTGATGCTGTTGTCTGGAATGCTGCCATCTTCCATCCCCATCGGATCCATACAGGCAGCTGGGGGCAAGATAGATTGAATTGATTTGATTTGATTTGTTTTATTTTTATTAACTTGAAATTGCAACAATGCAATGCACGATTCCGATTCGAGCACTCTGCTGTTGCGCCAAACGACCCCACGTCGTCAATGTAGGACAATGTTAATCTCCAAGCAGATCTTTGGGTAGCTGGAGTGCAGTATCATATTAACACGACAGTGTCGTATTAGCCAGGCAGTATAAAAACGCCAAATGGTTGTCCAATATTATGGCGGGCAATATAGGTCCATCTTGTCCCAGAGAATCTGCTTGGAGATTAGATCAATGTAATGTTCGTCCAGACCAAGTGGTCATACGTGAAGTTTGGGCTCCAGCTGTTGAACATGTTGGTAGCATCGACGTCCAACGGCCGTCAGCCCGGCATCTCACTACAGCAGCGCCCTCTAGAACAAACCCAGCGTCACAGGTGAACTGCACCTCGTCTTGGTAGGTGTTACTGTGGTCTGTGGTGGTCATGTTGCCGTTTTCTGGAGCCGTCAGTGGCGGGCACGTGATTGCTTCTAGTGAGGGAATGAATGGGCATAGTATAAGTGATTTCATTGTGTTTCATTTTATTCCCATTAATACATCCAGGATTGGGCACCAAGCAGAATAAAAAAATAAGGCCCCTCCTTAAAAACACCAATAAAACACCAATACAAATACATTTCTAAAAACACCAATACAAATACATTTCATTGCGAACGAACGATACATTTAAGATACAAGATCAATATTAAACAGAAAACAGTGAAAGGGAGATGAGTTGATGTGCTACCAATCGGGAATATCTTGCATGGATCCAGAATAAACTATAATATGGACACTATCGAATATATTCTTACCTGCCACATAGGGGGCGATGCAACCTGCCAAGGCTGGATTGATGACTGTAGTTGAAAAGTGTACCAAAGAATACCATGGCATGTTAGTTTTTATAAATTAAGCAGTTAGGTATCCTTAAATTTACTTAGCTACCCAGTACATATAAAGCGTAGTGAATTATATTAAATGCAGCATTGCATTATACATTCTGAACTAATGTTAAATCGTAAATTCCAACATAAACAATTTTTTTGGAAGGGACAGGGGCCGGGGGCGCCATATAAACTAGGAAATCTAGTTAAGCCCATTTCTTGTGTTGAAAATAACAGTTTAACTCTAATTCCGAATGACTGCCACCAACACTCATGAAGCTGATATCATTCCTTAGAAAAGACATCGTGCTAAAAAGATTGCTCTTACCGTCTTCTGGTTGCCAGGCAAGAGAAAACGAAGATGGTGTGTTTTGGTTTGCATAGTAGACGATCTTCGCGGCACCTCCACTGGCGCAGACGCTGTCTGGTGGAGTGGTCCCGCAAAACTTTCCCAGGCTCCTCCACGAGTCGCCTACAGCGTCGAACAACTATACGGAAAAAAGATGTAAAAAATAATGAATCCGTACTCATCAAGTACGGCAAACAGCTTTCTTGTTAGAATGTTTAGCTGTACTCATTGATGTGATAAGTTTTTATGATGTATTTTATCGCTAGTTATGCAGATGTATGTGAGATTTTATGCTATCTATTGTAATAATTGAGTACAAGTTGTAAATATTCGACGTATTTCATGCGCTTAATGTAACATGCCAGTCGATATTCAATAAAATCTGAATCTGGAATCTGAATCTTGTTACGTCATTACGGAAAAGACTCAATCACACGACGACCTAAGAATATCATCGCGCCGTTTCCTGTTTATTCCGTACATTTCCAACCTCTTCGCCAGGCCTACCACAGAGGCAACATTAACCTCAATGACAATGCTTCCGAGTAAAACAAATTTTTACTACCCTTACAAATAGTAAAAAGGAAGAGTTTTTACAAGTTTGTTACATACTATTACAAACTATTAGGCCTCCACTTAATCGTCGCCAAAAAAACGAGAGTAAAATGTCGTACCTCCACGTAGTCATGACCACAGCTGACGTGAGACTCCACGGAGAAAGAAGTGAAGGTCAATTTCACTCGCTGCGTTCTGCCCGCGGTCACCAGGGCCTCACATGAGGCGTCAGACGACTGGGGAAGCAACGCTAATGTTAGTCTGTTCTGTTCTATTCTATTCTATATTCTATTCTATATTCTATTCTATATTCTATTCTATATTCTATTCTATATTCTATTCTATTCTATATTCTATTCTATATTCTATTCTATATTCTATTCTATATTCTATTCTATATTCTATTCTCTTCTCTTCTGTAAGTAGCTTGAGGCAAAGAGGCAGATGCGAGACAAGGACAAGCGAGGACAGCCCACAACGTTCTCACATCTACATGTATATGTCCCAACTGTGGTCAGGACTACCACGCCAATGACATGACTAGCGCCCCACCTCCGGATATTGTGGACTCTGCACCTCACCCCCAATTCCTGAAGCGAACACTTCGCACTTCCTGGTGATGGTCTCTGTCGACAAAAAGTGGAATATTTTTGGACAAGCGTGTGATTAAGTTCTCAGAAGCGTATTTACCTGAATAAAGATTTCAGATAGCCTCAATATATGGACTGATAGACAAGAGTACTTGATCATGAGTTCAGGACCCTCACTTTTCTGGCAGACGTATCCCTGTTGGACATCACAAGAGTCATCGCACCACTGGCTCAGGGGGTCATCGTTTTGATGTGTGACGGCAATACAGTCTTGTTGGTTATAGTTGTTGGGCTGTCCCGGTGTCCATGGATGAAAATCACCAATAGGGCTGCCGTCCTCCCATAAATAACTCCCTTCCGTTGCAATGTCGTTCAACCCTATGAAGACATCCGCGGTTTCTTCCTGCTGGTTTTGGATAATTGATAAGATTGTTGGAAATTCCAGCCCGAAAGCTAATGGCAAATATACAAAGAAACAGGACAGCTATGTCTAAAACTATTATAACTTTCCTTGGCTGAAAATTAGCAGTAAATTAGCTCTAAAGTACAATTGACAAACCAAATCAGTGTATGTCTCTGTACAGCTCAATCAATTGTTGTTTAGCTAAGTCTAGCGAATATTTTAATGCATAAGACTCGAGTCTGATGTCGAGACTTAGACTGTTTGCAGTAGTCGACAACGTTACTAAGGGGACCTTCACGTGGTCTTCCATGTCTGGGTTTGAGTTTTTTGCTGAACGCGACACTAAGGACATTTTGTGGTGGTGGGTCAAGCGGCATCTATAGGAGTACATGACATAAGAGGGATCACCTACGACGGTGAACTTCATTCTGTAGAGGTGGTACCTGGCTTTGGATGGCCACGATGAAATCGTGAGTCGCCTGGTCCTTTACGATGGCAAGCCAAGCGCCCTCCTCCGCGGCACAGGCGGTTTTCGCACCAGCGTACGTCTGACGCTCGTCCGTGACAACTTTGAAGGAAAACAAGCCGTGTTGCTTCCATCCGCGATCGTCGTCTATGAATATGAAATGGCGGAATAATAGTAATTATAGTAATCTTTCAGAAACTTTCAGTAATCTATAAGAAACTTTGAGTCGTTTTCCCTGATGATGAAATAAACTTTGCGGAAAGCTGACTTAAGCAAATTAAAGTTACTTTTGCTGACTATATTCCAGGTTCTGATGGAGCGCATCCTGTCCGAGCTGTACTTCTGGCCCGATAGCGGGGAGATTCAGTTCTCCGAAGGCGGCTGCCGTCCCGTCAGGGATGCTATAGACCTGCACGTCAAGTCTTAGGAAGTCCAAGCAGTGGTTTAGGTCTGGGTTATTTAAAAAAAAAGTTATGGCTCTAAGAGTTAATGTGCAGATGTTTGCACACTGGCGATACTAAATCCATCTGTGTCCTCATCAGTGTTTGGACACAGTATCAACGATTAGTAGAAAGGCCCGACGGGCGTCACTCCACCGTACAGTGAGGGAAGTTGTGTAAAACTAAAAGTGTCTTTCTAAGGGCACAGTATCGGACATGTTAGGGGGTTGAACCGGGGACATTTGTTCTGAGCCAACCAGTCTTAGCGTTTCTGGGGTTGTTTCGTTGTCTTCTACGATTGTTACATTATGTTTCCCTAATAGTGATCACGATTTCTTTAATTGAAGGAGGGAGGAAAAGAAAAAAAATCACGATCACCACTTGGAAAACATACAACCGCCGTAGAAAAGGCCGAAAAGAAACGAGCTAACTTCTGACGAAAACGTCTGATTGGAGCACAGAAAGGCAATTGCAAATTATGATGCACCAAGTCTTAGTAAGGCAACTATGCGGACGTACATTTCGAACATTTGCCGGCAAATGGGAGATGTCACTGTTATAATGTACCGCCTTGAGTCTACATGAACAGCTGGTCACTGGAAATGTAGCCCTATGTCCAGTCTATCGTGATTTTGGTCGGCTCTCTTCGAGCTCTGCTAGGATAGGTTCCTCCGTAGGTTTTGCATGACGGGCGGGGGAAAACTACTACGGCTCCGAAGAGAGCCCGACCCAACCACGATAGCACACCAGGCTGGAGCCGACACGTTTTTAAGCATTATACTCGAGTTTTGTAAATTAATGTAACATAGAGTTTTATGGTTTTGCAAATTAATGCTGCTCTTAATAATGGTGTCTCTAAAAAAGGGTTTCTAGTAAAGATACTAAATTTTATGAAGCAAACATGTCTTAGATGATGTATGTAGTTGTCCAAGTACATAATGTACCGTCAACCAAAAGGTAACTAACTTAAAGTAACTTCCATACAGCACCATGTATGTGAACACAATAATGTATTTCAGTAAATACAGAACATAATCCGACTTAGCAAGTGCAAGTGACTTGTACCCATCTCCTTGTATATACACTGTATGTATACATGAGGTGGAAAAGAACAGTCCAAGAAAAAAGGCGCTATAAACAAATCTCTTTGACAATCTGAGAGAGTTTAATGCAGGCGTTTGTCTTACAGTAGGTTGGACATCATGTCTCACAAAAGGGACAACTTCAACAAGGCTTTTACTACGTATAGCTCGGAAGTGTTCTCCACACTTCAATTAGAAAAATCCTACCATGTATATATCAATATTGCTCTTTAATCTTGTTTCAAAGACTAAAAACGCCGTGCAGTATGGAACGATCTGCTAGGGGGCTCAAACTCACGTCACTTCCGACATCTACAGTATGTTTGTTGTCATTTAGAAAGATTACTATAATTACTATTATTCCGCCATTTCATATTCATAGACGACGATCGCGGATGGAAGCAACACGGCTTGTTTTCCTTCAAAGTTGTCACGGACGAGCGTCAGACGTACGCTGGTGCGAAAACCGCCTGTGCCGCGGAGGAGGGCGCTTGGCTTGCCATCGTAAAGGACCAGGCGACTCACGATTTCATCGTGGCCATCCAAAGCCAGGTACCACCTCTACAGAATGAAGTTCACCGTCGTAGGTGATCCCTCTTATGTCATGTACTCCTATAGATGCCGCTTGACCCACCACCACAAAATGTCCTTAGTGTCGCGTTCAGCAAAAAACTCAAACCCAGACATGGAAGACCACGTGAAGGTCCCCTTAGTAACGTTGTCGACTACTGCAAACAGTCTAAGTCTCGACATCAGACTCGAGTCTTATGCATTAAAATATTCGCTAGACTTAGCTAAACAACAATTGATTGAGCTGCAATATTGATATATAATAGATAACAAACGGCTTAAATGCGAACGTACTTGGCACATTAGCGGCGTTGCATGCTGTCTCGGCCGTCGTGTTTGCTGCATCTAGAGGGAGAAAACGGGACAAAATAACTGCAATGAGTATTGTAAGATTTGTTACACCGAGAAGTGTTCAAACTATGGAATTAAACCAACACATGAGCTTTCATTCCAATAACGTAATATATTAGATGATCATAATGGTCGTAATAAACCATTAATGCATTCATATACGATTCAGTTTGCACTCACCGCCCCCCGGTTGCCAGGCAACAGAAAACAGAGACGGGACGCTGTCGTCTGTGCGGAAGACGAGCTTCACCACGTTTCCGGTGGAGCTGATGACGTCACGAGGTCTGGAGCGCCCGCAAAACTTCCCCAGACTTTCCCACGAGTCATCTACAAGGTCGAACAACTAGAAAGGAAAAACATCAGCAAACTGATCAATAAATATCATCAGTAGTCTCTTAGCTCTATGCCAGACCTACATGCTCTTATTTAAGATGCCCTTCTTTATTTTGGTATTGAAGTGACTTACTAGATTTCTTGGGGTAAAAATAATGTGCCGTTTCTTCAACATAGACCTGAGGTCAATTATTATTTGTCCGGAAGCGCAAAATATGGAAAGAGAGTCAAGAAGTAATGTATCCCAAAGAAAAGAAATGGGTTTACTGTAAAGGAAAAAGATAAGGAATTGATACCTCCACGTAGTCAAATTTGCAGTCCTTCTGAGGTTCCACAGAGAAAGGGTCCCGGAACGTCAGTTCTACACGGTTCCCTGTACCCACCGTTATCAGAGACTCACAGGACACGGACGACGCCTGGCAGGGGGAACAGAAGAAGGTACGTTCTGATGTTCTATTCTATGATGTTCTGATGTTCTATTCTACCATGTTCGGTTGTTCTATTCTGGTACAATGGAACATATTATAATGTTATATTCTATTCTGCTCTGTTCTGTTCTATTCTAAAAAATGAAACGTTACAATGTTCTATTCTGTTCCATTCTATTATGCTGTTCTACTCTAATTTGTTCTATTCGGTTCTATTCTGTTCTGTTTTATTGTACTGTATTAAAAGAGAGCTAGAAAAACTCGTAGGACATTGCCAAAACATTATTATTAAAATACTTTTTCACATGCATTTTACATTTTGTGTACTATTTGTGCAATCTTCAGCTTACATTTATGTCGCCAGGATAGTAAAGATGGAATAATGAGAAGATCCGTGTCCCACCTGTGGGTGCTGCGGGTTGTGTATTTCTCCCCCCGTCTCGGTGACGTTGGTTTGGCACGTGTCGTACGCAAGGACAGTAGGGGTCTCTGTTGGAGATAAAGATGTCATCCAAACGTAGCGAAACCGAAAGATTATCAGCCAAATAACTTTAATTCACTTCAACCTATTCCACTTTGACGCCTACATTTGACCATGATTTTCTTATTCTAAATCAACGCTCCGAAGTTTCGTGGAGGTGACTTTTTGTGATTTTTTTTAGAACGGGCGAAAATGTCTGAACGCGCGGATGTCTTCCATAAAATTAAGAAATTGTGGCCTTCCCCTAATCTTCGAAGCTTCAAGCAGACCGTAGGGTGACTAATTAAAGACAGTATCAAATTGGCCAGGCAGTATCCATTCGCCAGTATCCACTCGGTTGGCGTGTGGATCCTCTCTGGCAAATGGATGTCTGGCTAATTTGATACTTGGTAAAAGGAACCTTACCTGGTAAAAGGAACCTCCACCGTCCGTCACTGCCCCAGCCTGTACGGTAACCCACGTAGCCGATGGGCAGGGGGTCCGGATCCACCCACTGCATGAATGGTTCGGTCTCGTTGTCACGGCCGACAGCGATGGTTCCGTCAGCAGCCCAGGACACCCAGAAGCCCCGGTACTCGGTGGGAGAGGTGATACCTGGGGTGAGACAGTTTGAACAGGTGACACTGTTGTCTTACGAACCGTGCTTTATTTAGCACCGTGCTCGGGCATGGTTCTGGATAGTCCACGTGTATCCAGAACCGTGCTTTATCCAGCACCGTTATGCACAGACACGGTTCTGGATAGTTCTCGTGTATCCAGAATCGTGCCTTCAACACAGTCTTGGAGACGATGAGGCCATCCAGATCCGTGACTGATCCTTAATGTATCCTAATCAGACATACGGTAATAGATATGCCCGGTTCTGGATACAATTGACACTTCAGTTTCTGGACAGGTTGATTCTTCTGTGTGCATATATGCAATATACATGTATGTGTAAAGATACCAGGTGACTGTATTTAAAATCGCAGTGTTGCCACTGGAGAGTAGTAGCATACAATTAAAAACAGATGAACAAGAATTCGTGACGCAATACTCAGTTACATATATAATTAAATATAATGCTATCTATGTATTAAAGAATTAGCTTTGTAACATATTATTTACTCATTTCATTCACAACCGTGACCTACCTGTTATTTGGGCCACAGCTACGAGGCCCCCTGAACCTGGGCGCAGTATGGCAGATTTGGTGTTACCCCAGCCACCGATTATAACTTCGTAATGAAGACCAAGACCCTGGTTCTCTGTCGATAGCGCCAGGGTCACGTCGTTTCTGGCCTGCGCCTCAAACTGGAAGCGCCGCCCTATGGCGGGTGGCAGGTCCCACCTGTACAGTAACTGCGTGTCTGTAGTTCTGTAGTCAAACCCTGTGAAAACAAAGGTATAATAATGAAGACCACATCTGCGAGCAAATACACCATATTTACTCCATCTCCTTTCCCATTTTGGCGTGTTTTCAGTCTTTTAGTCGGGCTTTTTTTTTGCACTTAAAAAAAAATTAAAACTCAATTAAGAATTAAAGCCCAATTTAAAAAAAACAGGGCAAAAAGAATGCTTGAAAAAAAAAGCCCCAAAACACGTGCAAGCCAAAACGCAAACCTCTGCTTGCGTATTTTTCCATGCGAAAAATTTCCATGCAAAAAATGGAGTGTTCCGTATCAACCTTTTGAGCCCTGGGTAAAAGTTAAACCGAGGAATCACCTTGCAGTCCCGGGAAGCCGGTCTCCACCAGGAAGGGCGGCCAGCCCGAGTGGGTCCCGGTGACGAGCAGTCTCCAGTACCGGCCCGACTTCTCAAACCCGCCGAACTCCTGGGGCTGCCGGGTCCCTGCAGCCACGTCATCTACTGTCGTGACGTCAGTCCATCCGTGCTGCCCACAGTCTGATGACGTCTGCAGCGTGAAGGCTCTGACGTCATGCACGGTGTCTCCGTAGTTGGTCAGGCTGATCTTGGTGACTGTCAAGCTGTTACCCATGTCGTAAACGATGTACCTGATATAACAAATACCAAATCTTTGAATGAAAGCTCATCATCTGTGTTTCACTTGGTAGAATCCAAAGATATAGAGTTCGAACTTTATACCATACCAAATCTCAATTTTCAAAAATTCTTTTGAATTCTTTTTTATCCACGTACCATTGTCTTTGATGGCGTTTCATTCAGTGTCGAAATAGATTAATTCACTCCTTCATATATGGAACACAAAAGCTACCTATGTTATGACGTCACAAGGGGTTACGTCATTCCCATCAACATTCAAACGCGTTCTATGCGTTCGAACGTCCGTTCTTAGAGCGCGTTCGAATGTGCACGTTCGATGCGTTCCATTCTTAGAGCGCGTTCGAATAACTCTTATTCTGTGCCATATTGCCCACGTTTTTTTTACTATGTATGCGACAATAAGAAGATATGTACACACCAGTTGTTGAAGTACCGATTGGAGTCGTCCGGCCGCCAGTAGGTGAGACTGTGCCCGTCTGTCGTCCTGTCGGCACTGTGAGTGGCGTCATCAGAACTTCCCGACGAACCGACAACCTTCGCTCGGGACCAAAAGGACAATTCTACAACAAAATAGAGCAGAGAGCATCCCTTAAATCAGAACTAGACTGTTCCATGATACAATCAATGTTTTCCTACTTCATACACGCCAGAAGTAAGGACAAAGTCATATTAGTATTTTTAATTGGTTTAGGCAACGATCCGATTATAAAACAAATAGTTCATAAACATTAAAATTTAGTCAAAAGGGGGAATAATTGGCCACGGGGAGTTTGGCCACCGTAGAGTTCATTTGGAGGGGGAAATTACGGGAACGTAAACTGCATGACACTCCTGTCTAATAACAGTATTTCCTTTTCGTGCCGAATTCTACGATCCGTACCCCTGTATCATGACCTGGTGAAGGCTAGCTAGTGATTTTGAAAGGCACTTACTTTTCTGACAGACGTAAGCTGCCACATGGCGACTGGAGCAGGACCTGTCGCCCCACTGGCTGGGGTGTGTGGCGTGCTGAGGCGTGATGTAGACGCAGTTTCGGTTGGACTGGCTGTTTGGTTGACCCGGCACCCACTGGCTGAAATCTCCGAGAGGACTGCCGTCTTCCCAGGCAAAACTACCTAAGGTAGGGTGGCAAGGTGGTGTTGTGGTTATTTAGGGTTGTTGACTCAGAATCCCTTACAGGCCTCGTTGTTGAGTCGTTGGCAGAGGCACTTATTTAATGGTCTAAGGTAAAAATGAGTACCTAGCTTCGGTTAGGGACGTCCTCTCGGACGGGAGGTAAAGCGGGGTTCCTGTGTTTAAGGCGAGCCACACCTTGAGCATGTTAAAGATCCCACCACACTTATCGTTTGAAAAGAGTAGGTGAGGTGATCGTCACCCTCTTGAAGAGGTGATCGTTAATCCTTCCGACAACGTGTGGTAAATCTCGATAAACAAATAAATAAAATACCTTCGACTTCACTGTCGCTCAACCCGATCCAAAGTTTCTCGCTCGGCGCCGTCATGTTTTTGAGGGCCAAGACGAAGTCGTGCGTGTCTTCGTCCTTCAAGATCCCGAGTGTTGCTCCTTCGTCGGCACAGGCAGTCCTTGCCTCATTGTACCTCTTAGGCGTAACGTTATCAGAGAACACCTTAAAGGCGTATAAACCGTGCTGTTTCCATCCGACTGTAACAGAAAAATAAATTATAACGTTATTACCACGTGCGGAAGAAGATAGTATAGTAAAACAATGTTTCATACTTATTTCTACCCATTATGTTTACCTTCTCAGAATGAGAACTCATTTGTTTAAAATTTTGCTCTTCTCCTCCAAACACGTAAGGTCAATAACATGGATCACGCGGCTGTCACCACGGTAACTGGTGCTGTAGCAGACACCCTGTGGTATTGGATTACATTATGTGGCAAGGGACTTATTGACTTCCAACACAGGAGTGTGGCTGGAACAATGGCGTCCAGATCACACGTAATTGGTCTCTCTTAACTACATCCGGGCACATCATAACGTCGTAACCCCATGACGTACCTTTATCCCGCGCGTCCGTCTGACAGTCGTCTCCATGGAAACCGGCGGGACAGACGCAGGTGGGGCGGCAGTGGTTCGGCTCCGTCTGCTGCGTCTTCAGCAGACGGGAGGTGCAGATCCCGCCGTTCCGACAGGGGTCGCTTTCCTGGGGGCAGGGGCTCCAGATGCCCTAATATGGGGAGGATGTTCGATATAGAACAGGGGGTTCGACGTGTTCGACATAGAACAGGGGGTTCGACGTGTTCGACATAGAACAGGGGGTTCGACGTGTTCGACATAGAACAGGGGATTCGACGTGTACGGTCATGAACGGTCTACAGGAAAGGTGTTTGCGTCACACGACTACATAATTTAAAATCAGACATTCTGGTGGTTGAAGGCAGAAAAATGTGTGTGTGAATTCACTAATGCTTTCTTTTCATGTTTGAAAAAAAAGTTCTTGCCGAAATTGGTTAACGACGTGTTTTTCAAGCAAAGTTAATACTCCATTCAATATACCATCTAGATCATGTGTTTAACTTACCTTTGTTCATGGAACGTAGTATTCAATACACGGAAACACTTGCAAATAATCCTTTGTTCAGCACAATGATAAACAAACATGGCGGACAGCTGTGCTTCCAGTGAGGCGCCATATTTTGGCACTTCCAACTCCTGAATGACGCTTTTTTGCAATGGAGTATTGACAGCCACTCTGAAGGGTGAGGCTTTTCAACTTATTTTGACGTTTTGTATCGTCCAAATGTTACATAATCCAGCTTTTGAAAGTCGGGCATCAAGCCTGCTTTCAATAATCAATGAGCCCATATTGAGTATAGTTTGGCGCCCATTTTGGCTGACGATTATTCGACACAACCTCCATAACATTATGCATAATACAGACTCACAAAGAAAGCTATCGCGTTGCGCTTGTAGTAGCTCCATCCTGTCAGAGTTTTGCTGTGGGAGGGAAACTCTCTCATGGTGGCATTGTTGATCTCGCAGCGCTGCTCCCCCTGGCGGTACTGGTAGGACTTGCAGTCCGCTGTGAGCCGGCAGAGTTGGGCGCACTGGGTGGAATGGTCCACCTGTTGAGAGCGACAGAAACGCCATTAGAAATATTGGCTATGGATAAAGCGTGGTTCTTCAAAAAGAATGGTTTTGCATAATTGCATAATAAAGCATGATTCTGGACAACGCATGGATATGGAAAGGTTCTGCATGGTTCTGGACTCATAAAGCATGGTTCTTGTCTTGACAAAGTATGGTTCTGGATAATGCGTGGTTCTAAATAAAGCATGGTTCTGGACTGATAAAGCATGGTTCTTGACAAAGTATGGTTCTGGATAATGCGTGGTTCTAAATAAAGCATGGTTGTGGACTGATAAAGCATGGTTCTTGACAAAGTATGGTTCTGGATAATGCGTGGTTCTAAATAAAGCATGGTTGTGGACTGATAAAGCATGGTTCTTGACAAAGTATAGTTCTGGTCTGGATAAAGCGTGGTTCTGGATAAAGCATGGTTGTGGACTGATAAAGCATGGTTCTTGACAAAGTATAGTTCTGGTCTGGATAAAGCGTGGTTCTGGATAAAGCATGGTTGTGGACTGATAAAGCATGGTTCTTGACAATTTATGGTTCTGGATAAAGCACTTCTGAATAAAGCATGGTTTTGGATAAAGCGTGGTTCTGGCTAAAGCATTCGCCGCGAATGGGGATCTGGAGACAACAGGAACCTTACCAGGTAGTAGGTATTGATTCGGTGGAAGTACAGCCGCTTGTTTCTGACCGCTTCTTTCTCGGCCTGTTCCTCCATGGCCAATAAACCTTCCTCCTCAGTATCATACCTATATGAATAAATTAATTACAGTACACGTATATCATTCACAGGAGACAACCCTAGATCCTTACAGTATAAAATACATAAGAAAAAAATATTACATAGAACCTATAAACCATTATTGTAACTATAGCTAAACCTAACTAGTGACATACTTATATAGTGCCTTGTAATTACCAAGTTAAAGTCATTGAAATTACTTTTGTGTATCCATCCAAAACGATGCCTACGGTTATAACCAAAGTGCCACCCTCATTTCTCAAGACGGAAGTCCCTTTATATTATGCTCTTTGTGTGTGGATAAAATACACTCACCTCACTGCCCGGACACACGTACACAGGAGTAAGAACTTCACGGCAAAACCTGGCGGCATGGCGTCTGGATGAAAGACCAGTCTTTTCAGCAACGTTCTCAAATACTAGTATATCAACCTTCCAACGTGGCCATGGTACCCTTTTTACTGTGCATTTTAAACGCGATGTGTTGATGTACTATCTACCTCAGTTGTAGGAAATGGCGCTAAAATGATGTTGCCTTTCTATAGATGTCGTCAAACGATACCTCTGGTTTATACACACACACACAGAAGCTGGTTAATAATACTTTACGAAAGCCCATTGTGATATATTTTCCTTTAAAAGCCATTGTTAAGAAGAATGTTGAATGATGTACGGAAATTAAGCCATGAAATCGTGTCTTCCTATGGCTGAATTGATACGAATGTCCGTCACCTGTGTGTGAATATCGGAACAGATCCAGGTACAAAGGAATCAATTTCGCCAGGTGACCAGACGGATTACTCGCTCAACCAAACAGTCAGAAGACGATGCACGACCGCACAAAGGGAAACGCAATACGCGATTGTATTTCTGATAAAAGGAGGCTCGTCCTGTATCTATTATTTATTAGCAATAACAACGTGACATCAGGGTTCCCACCAGACAGACGTTTTTTTTATCGTTTTCTGTTCTGAATCGTGTCTAGAGTTGCCCAATCTACTATTGTCTCGACAGTGCTAAAAGGTACCTGAAAAACATGTATTTGTCTTACATTTGAACTCGAAGCTATTAGTATCTAGTAGTATGATCTACATCAGTGACATGTCATAGATCCTGGATTTCATTAACACGACGCTAGGGGTCGCATAAAGCATGCTGTGGGCTTGATCATGAGCAGCAATATCCTGACCAAGTTTAAGCCTTGCACTTTGATCGAAAGGCTATAACATACACTTAGTTTACGGTATGTTCACCCAACTTCTTCCTTTCTGTCTGCCTGTCTTCTCTCCCCCCCCCCTCTTTTCTGTTGTTTCATATTAACCAACAAAGCCGATGCCAAAAGGGCATTTCCCATAACATTCCACCTTATCGTAAGACCTGAACATTTACCCGGCCAGGGGGAGGGACACTAGAGGCGTGTGGCAGCGCCCCCCTCCCCCATCCCCCGCCGGGCGCCCATCGGCCGGGCACGACCTCGTTTTTCTTTTCCAATTTGCCCCGCTCTGCGGCGGATTAGGGGATGAAACGTGATGCTAAAATGTCTGGGGCGGCCGAAAACAGGCTCGGGAGGGGGTGGCACGAGACGGATGGGCTGTCAGGGCAGGCCAGATGGGGGAATGATGAATAAGAACCAAGTAGATGTAGGGAGGGGCTGTCAGGGCAGGCCAGATGCGGGAATGATGAAGGAGCGTCAAGCAGATGTAAGGAGGGGCTGTCATTGCACTCCAGACGGGGGAAAGGTGAGTAAAATCTAAGCAGGTGTAAGAAGTGGCTGCCAATTTGCTCTAATCTCCAAGCAGATCCTCAGGGTGGCATAAGACAGTATCAAATTGGTCAGGCAGTATACATTGGCCACGGTGGCATATTGGACCCTCTCTGGCCAATGGATACTGCCTGGCCAATTTGAAACTGTATTATGCCACCCTAGGATCTGCTTGGCGGAGATTACGTTTTCTCCGGATGGGAGAATGGCGAGGAGCGATAAGCAGATGTAAGGATGACGGCACAACTTTCCGAAAGGATACCCCGACATTTCCCGTCGACTTCTCGCTGATCCGTTTCGTCCCGGTTTCCATGGTTTCTGGGTAACCCAGCTTCCAATGTTCAGATCCCTATACTAAATACTCACCACAACGCGACCGTATTTTACTATTAGTATCCACACAACCAGGCCGTCATGATGATGTTCGATGAGCCTACTCAGAGTAAAACTAGAGTCCTCTCTACTCAGAGTAAAACTAGGGTCCTCTTTGTGGCAAAATTGCCGAAAACGGTGACATTCTTGTAGCGTTTTCGGTAATTTTGCCACAAGTGGGAGGCTAGATTCAACAGTCACCACAGCTATTAGGATGCTACTGCCCCGGGGACAGGCAGGTAATAGCCACTCAAACAGTTTAACCTCAGTGTTACAAGTTTGAGAGAAAACACCGCGAGGTCAGAACCACGGGATCCACGGACCGAGGGCGGGAAATTACCGGGATTTCTGGCTCTGTGGGAGGACATGTGCGGAGTGCAGCGGGTTTGGGTGGCCTGGCCTGGCGTGGTCAGATCAGGTAAAGTGTATCCCGCGGTTCCAAAGATTATCTATGGATCATGCTGTAGCTGCACAGTGTATTTCTACTAGTACTTGCACTAGTGTCACGTGTTCTACCATCGAAGACTATCGAAAGGCCTGGCATCACATTCAGTTAGCCTGGGTACCATCATGATCTTTTTCCAGCGTTGCAGAGCAAAAATCCGTATGGTAGCCAGGCTAACATTCAGTGACCGTCGTTGGAGCTATTAGTGGTGTTGACACTGTACATGTATCTTGAAATTTCCTTCATTGTGGTCATATTCGAAAAGTGCAATGATTTCTAACGAGATGTTTCTAAGAATATGTGTAGAATTAATAGACAATTGTGTAACTTTCTGGAAAATGATATACAATTTAACATATATCCCAGTAATTGTCAGACTTCTGATAATCAAAGATTCACAATAAGTAGCACAAAAATTTATTCAAAATACAAATGAATAAAGATTAAAACATCTTAATCAGCTTCATTATAGTGATCGAACTTTAGGCTTTAGATTCCAGCAGCTACAGATACAAACATAGCATCTTCCAACCTACAAAATGTGTTCTCAGTTAGAACGAACACGGAATGCCATAATTAAGATATTTATTACATAACGTCTGAATAGGGCACTGTTCGGGGTAATTACAAGAAATGATTCACGGTTCCCGGCTATCGTTTTAATATTACCTTTTACCATTCCACAACGCTTTTATAGCTCAATTTGTTAATTCAGGAATATTCGCCAACTTCATTTTGATGACATATAAAATTGTAAGGCAGGATTAACCCAAATCTCCAAGCAGAGAGGGCAAATATTATATTCGGCTTTATCGTCGTCTGTCTTCGAGAGAAAGAATTATTAATCCACACTGGCAAATTAATTATACTCCAAATAGTTTGTACTACCAGCACACATAATGATGTCGTGTTGTAGAATCAAAATAACGCTCCCCGATTAAGCAAAGATAGCACTTAAACATAATTAGCAGTACATATTCTTTGATAGTTCATGTACATGTACACCTTACGTCTATAATAAAAGGATATAAAACAATTTACACTGAAAATATCCACTTCAATATCTAAACAAAGTAGTACTCTTAATTAAGCATATTACTTTAATACCTTTCGAGCTTGACAAATTTGAATCGTCGTTTGTCCTTTTCTAAAAGCTATAAAATAAGCACGTCGGCAGAACGTACTGCACCTGCGCAAAACCGTAATGTATTGAACATAGCACTTCGGCAGAATGTCTCATATAAGGTTGTATTTGCTCATATAAGGTTAGCATTCCGACAGTAGTTTTCAAATGTTATGTCGTAAAAGTTATCGTCTGCAACAGAGAAAATTCTGATGCAACGTTGACTAAAAATCCAACGAAAACCGTGAAAATCCTGGGTTATGCGCAGGCGCAGTACGTTCTGCCGACTTGCTTATAAAATAAAACTACAGGTGTTGCAGCAGCGCCCTCAGGCGGTGATGGAGCCGTGCTGCAGGCTGTACTCCTTGGCGCGCAGGCGCAGGTTGGCGATGCTGGAGCCGACGTGGACGTTCTGGCCAGGTGTGATGGAGCAGGTGGACGGCACTACGCTGGCGTGGGACACGATCGGGTTGTACGGCGACGTCGGCGACGACCAGCTGAAAAACACAACAAATTGACGAGATTTTTTTTTTTAATCTTAAGATCTTAAAATCGGTTTAAGCGTTACGATCGAGCTGTGCAGAAGGCTAAAAAGCGTTAATTTTAGATTCGTCATTTTAAAGCTAAAAAATACGCCATAACTTTCCCCAGGTAGTCGTGAGCGATCGGCCTCGGTCGGGGTACGATCGGCATTGGGAGCGAGCGTCGGGCGTGATCGGGTCTTACCTGAGGTAATCGGGAGCGATCGGTATTTGTCGGGCAGCGATCGGCGTTGGTCGTGATGCGATCGGCATTGGTCGGAGAGTGATCGGCATTGGTCGGGGAGTGATCGGTATTGGTTGGGGAGTGATCGACCTTGGTCGAGAGAGATCGGTTCTTACCTGAGGTAATCGGGCGCGATCGGCGTGGGTCGGGGCGCGATCGGCTGCTCGATGGACACGCCCTCGGGGTGGACCTGCCTGAGCAGCCCGTTGCGCGTCTGCAGCAGAGTTCGCTCGTTCCGCCGGAACTTCGCTCTCCGGTTCTGGAACCACACCTGGGCAGACGACAAACATACAAAACGTTAAAGGTGTCCAATGCAGTTGTTATACGTGATGCTGAGGTCACATTTCCAAAGCGGGGCCCTGCCGGGGAGTCTTATGCGTTATGGAACGAAAAGTATTATATAAAAGACAACAAAGCAGAAAAAAATGTGAAAAAAAAAATAATGGAAACTATTTGCGTATGCTATTGATATGAATTGTATCTGCAGTATGAATCAGAACCAACCATTCAAGTTGTGGTGAGTTTGTTTTGGTCGGTATAGTATAGAAACGTTTTGCCTTTACAGTTCTGGAATTTCGGACTAAATTGACAATTTAGAGGTCGGGCTACCTTGTCAATGTGTTTTTTCATAGTCTTTCTATTTCTATGACGTTTGCCATGTGATAAGATAGCCCTATTACTATCCTGTTCTCAGCGAAGCTTGACGTGAGAGGAGGTGAGTCACTGAAACTATCAATCAATGTTCGGATAATCTGTGAAGGTTAGAGATCAGCCAAAAGGATATCGCCGAAATCTGACAAAGTAGATTATCACTAGCAGCTGGTGTTATTTAAGGATGACTATCAACAACAACCTTGACTCACTTCTAAAGTTTATCGTTATATCATAACTTAGACACTGACCTATGTCCTGTATGCTTCTAACGTTATATTACACGTAATATTCCCTGACTGAAACAGGATGGGAGGTTAAGTGCTTGTAAATCGGCACCTGTTACGATTTCTCGCGCGATTTTTCGTCAGAAAAACAGAAATCGTCTGCAGAACGCCGCTCCATAACAACCTGTTATCTCGCCTGTCCGGCCATCGGGACGGCGGGTCAGAGGTCACGCCACCTGGTTACCCATGTCGTGCGTGGGAGTCAGACAGACGATCTAAGCTGTGCGTCCGTTAATTAAGAGCAGGAGACCCCATCAAATCGTCAGGACACGCATCCGTAAAACCTGCCAGCCGGGACTCCTTCCCCTGCCTTTAATTCGCCTTTCATTGGCGCCAATCGCGGGACCCCGACGCCCGCCTCGCCCGACTAGCCCGACCTCTTCCCCCAGTTCGTTAAACATTTATCCCCGGGCAACAACTTTCAATTACGCCGCGGCACAACTTCTGGTGTCCCGTTACCAGGGAAACATGTGGGCCTCGTTATGTTCCAATATCGGCGGTTACGGCTTGGCCCGGTGGCGTCTGAGGGGAATTAGCGGGCGCGGGGCGGCGTGAGATGGATGGACGCGGCAGTGACAGGCCGCCTGCTGGGCGCATATGTAGTACACACGCTGCTGGCTACCTGTACAGTAGTATTCACTCTCGACTACCTGTACATCATAAGTACTGTGTACTACTACAGGACTATGAGCTATGGCCCCCGACTACCCCTACCCCAACCCGCCCAAAAACACAAGTCCTCTCACCTGCTGGGCGCATATGTAGTACACAAGCTGCTGGCTACCTGGTACGCTAATAGTGCAACTACCTGTACACTTAGTACTGTGCACGAGTACACCCCTACCCCCATCCTAGGCCTTCCCCACCCCACCCCAAAACACAGGTCCACGTGCCTGCTGGGCGCATATATACCATAGTGGTGCCTGTACAGCAGTACACATTCCCGACTACCTGTATATAGTAGTACACACCCCTAGCTGACTACCTGTACAGCATTACAGATTTACACATTCTCGACTACCTCTACAATAGTACACATCCCTGACTACCCATACACTCGACACTAGTGCACACACACACACACACACACACACACACACACACACACACACACACACACACACGAACACACACACGAACACACACTGGCGCGCGTTTGCTGCCTCACATATTCATGCACGCGATTGCGTTTTATCTTATACATTTATTACGTACTCCACAGGCACTGTGATAAGTTTGGCACAGGGTAAGAAAAGAGCAACACTGCTAAATTGGCATTTGGCACGATAAGTGAAAAATTCATCAACTCCAATCAAACAGTAACATCTGCTGAGTAGAGGGGTTACTGCAACAATCACTGTGAAAGTATGTCATGAAAAGAAAGTTTACATTCAACCAAAGCACCAAGTATCAAACGTGCAAAAGTGGGTCCCCAGAGAAACATAAGGATTCAAACGGAGATCCTTTTGCAACCTGTTCTATTACAATGAAAAGCATGCTTCGGAAAGTTATGTAGATTATATTTCCTCCAAATACGTAACGGGCCTCTTAGCTTACTCAATATTTCCTATCTTCTACTTTGGGTGGTCCTACTTTTCTTATGTGGAGGTGTTTTTACGAGTGCCAACTATTTTTCGACATCAGCGGTGGAACTTCTGGCACAAGTGCATACAGTTGTGTCTGTCCTGCCAAATTTTACTGTCAACTATGGTAAAAATTATAAACGGCGAGTTTTCGTTCAGAAACAGGTCAGCAGTTTTAATTGCAAGTCGTTTTACGTGGAAGACTTAATTATGAACGGTCCTGCCGTCAGCTCTGCTACTTTTATCACTTCTAAATTGAACTATTATATCTTAAGAGAAAACACATGTGACTGCCTGCTCTCTGTGACATCATCTGGCATTGATGGGATATAAATAGTAGGGGAATCCTAGAAATAATCTAACTTTCGTTGACTGATTTTAGTTGCAATTCAGCAGCAATTGTCAAGCAAAGATGATGGCCTAGTACAGTTAAACTTAAACTGTTTTTACAAGCAGTGTGTGCTGTACAGATATTGTTTCTACTTTGGGCTTAAGAGTTTATTTAAGAAACTTTTATGTGCCGATTTTTAAAGAAGTACAGTTTACTTTGTCCAATTCCAAGAAAATCACTTAGTCCTACAGGCTAGCTAGGGGACCAAAAAATCTGATCTATGCGGACAGGTGGTCACTATAGACAGACAGGCTTTTTAATGCGTGGGTCAACAGAAAAATTACTAGCGAGCTTTTAAGGTGGTTCCTATGTAGGGGTGATCACCTGTACAGGTTTGACTGTGGCACCATTCCCACTAGGATAAAATTGTCCAGATCGAGCCGAATTGATACGCTTTGATCCGGCTTCGAGTAGCGAGTAATGCGGAGAAGAAGCTTATCTAGTCCTATGTCTGAATGTTTTAGGGGTTAGAATCAGGCAAGGTTCTGGATACGCGTGGACTATGCAGAATCGTGCCTGAGCATGGCTCTGGATAAAGCACGGCCCTGGATACGACAGGACTGTGTACCTGTCATACAAAATCAAAACGCCATCTTATGTGCTGCTTTCTGAGTAGCGAGTAATATCTTACAAGAAGCCACGCTGCGGGGCCAGACAGACAAGACTGGATCGGCGAGTTTCGCGCCAAACCTCCGCGGGACAGAATGGCGGGAATGTCTGCCATGCAAGTACGCAGATGCAGGTGTAGCGGGCCAGTCGGTACCCCTGGTAATCATGTCCGACAAGACCGACATCACAAAGAAGCATCATGGCAAAATTGATAAGTTAAGGTGGCAAGGTGCCCTGATGATTGGGGCTTTTGACTTAAAACCTGGTTTTAGGTTTTAGGATTGAAAGCCTTTTGTTATTATATTTTCTATTATTCATGGTACATGGAATGTGCTTGTTTGTATGTAACTGTACGAACTTCGTGTTATTTGTGTCTCAGGACCCACTGTAGAGCAGTGATCACACCACTAACCTGGGCTACGAACCGTAGTTAAATATGAGAGAAATAAATGGCAACAAATAAATAAATGGTTCTAAGTTCCCAGCGGCCGTGTCTAGCTTGTCGTCAGCAGCCCTTCAGGAGGCCAGTGCCCGCATGAATCATACAGACGACAGGACCGACTTCCCTGCCCGTCCAGCGGAGTCAGGTATCCTGAGCACCGGCGGCTGGCGGGCAGCGAACATGCCGAAATGACGGAGTCATGGAAACTGTATCCAAATTTCTGTCACCAAAATGACCTCTCTGATCTTTTCAGTCACAAACGGTTAGCGGCATTGTTTCTCGTTGGCGACGTTCTTTCTAGTGAAAAAGTGCCCGTCTTTTATTTTCGGCACATTCGCACAATCGTTTACACCAGGTGACACCTGTATTCTTGCCTCAACTATGTGTGTGTGTGTGTGTGTGTGTGTGTGTGTGAGTATGTGTGTGTGTGTGTGTGTATGTGTGTGTGTGTGTGTGTGTGTGTGTGTGTTAAAGCATTTGCCGTGAAAGCACATCGCTGATCATCTGAACC